GGCAGACTCATGTTCCTTTCAAATGCTTGTATGCTGTCAGCCACGCGGGAGGGGCACCCCAACAGAAAGGGTAATGGGAAGGCAGCCACAGGGAGGTCCTTGGTCCCGCAGAAAGGGCTGTGAACACGCCCAGTGGGCAGGGGGACAGAAAGTACTTGACGACCCTGGGCAGAAGGATTTGGGAGGTGCCCGCATCCTGCATGGTGGCTGTAAGGTCAGGGGTGAGGGGCTTTCGGGCGCAGCCGGGGCAGGGCAGAACCAGACAGTGAGATTGGGGAACACAGCAAGTCCTTCTGTGGAAGAAGTCAGGCAGCTTCTGACTGCTCTGCAGCTGCGTGGGACTCACCCTGAACCCTGAGAGCAAGAGGCACTATTTTCTCCCCTCTCTTGTCAGATATTGACTCCCACGCAGGAAAAAGGAAGCACCTTTTGTCAGATGCTGCGGCCACTTCCTCTTCAGACGGCTCCAGCCAATCTCTGGCTTTGTAGAAGGAGGGAGCGGACTCCAGCTGCCGGACCTTGCGGGTGGAGAGCCCCAGGGCCGGCGCTGGTGGGAGTGGGCCCCTCCGCTGGTTCGCTGGGTCCCGGGGCATCCTCTCTGCAGCAGATCTGGACCCCTAAGCCCGGCCTGGCTGGGGCCCAGTGCCTCCCGGGCCCTCCCTGCACACTGCTCACAGTCCAGGTCAGCCCGCCTGTCTGTCCCTCTCTACAGCTCGGTCAAGGAGCGTGATGACCGGAGAGCAGATGGCGGCCTTTCACCCTGCATCCACCCCCAACCCGCTGGAAAGACCCATCAAGATGGGCTGGCTGAAGAAGCAGAGGTCCATCGTGAAAAACTGGCAACAGAGGTACTTCGTGCTGAGGGCGCAGCAGCTCTGTTACTACAAGGACGAGGAGGACGTAAAGCCGCAGGTACCAACCAGGCTATCGGCCCTGCTTCCTACAGCGGTCCCCTCCCGGGCGTGGGAGGCGGGTAGAGCGCCGCAGAGTCCTGCAAACTCACAGGGGGCTTCTCACTGGGATAACATCCTGTCCATTCCAAAGGACTTCTCTCTGCCTTTCTCCCCCTTGTCAAGATAATATTAACTGGGCTTCAGAGATGACAGGGTGATGATCCCCCACGGAGCCCCAAGATGATCACTGGGGCTCTTCCTAAACACAGCACTAAGTCAAGCCTGGCAGCTATGGCCTTTTCTTTTTAACTTTTTATTTTGTATTGGGGTATAGCCGATTAACAATGCTGTGATAGTTTTAGGTGAACAGCGAAGGGGACTCCGTGACGGCGTGGTCTTGATGGGGATGCAGGGCACAAGGGCTCAGGGAGAGTTGATTTGGGTTCAGGAAAATTGGTCTGAGATTTTGATTTATTTGTCTGTTCATTCAGTATTTGTTGAGCATCTACTTTGCACCAGGCACTGTTCTGGGGAATTGAAATCACCCCAGTGAGTAAAACAGATTAAAAAAACCAAAACCCTGCCACGTGAAACTTAGAAGATGGGGTGGGGAAGACAGAAAATAAACATAATCATTAAGAAAAGTATGTGGTTTGTTAGAAAATGACTATGTCTATGAGGAAAAGATAGAGTGGGCTAGGGAGATTGGTCATTTGAGGGAGGTGGTACTATTTCAAGAAGGGTGGTCAGAATGATTTCATGAAGAGGGGGACATCTGAGCAAAGATTAAGGAGGAGTGGTAATTGGCCAAGCAGATCTCTGGGGAAATAGCACTCCAGGTGGCAGAGACAGCCAGTGCAAAGGCCCTGAGGCCTGAGGCCTGAGATAGAGTATGTCTGATATACGTGGGAAATAGCAAGCAGGGCAGAGTGGGGATGTAAGAGTTAGAGAATGAGAGTATCAGAGGGGATGAAGTCAGAGAGGAGAGGGCAGGAGGTGGGGGTGCAAACTGCAAAGGGGGTGGTAGGCCTCTGTGAGGACTTGCGCATTTATACTGAGGTAAATGGGAGGCCTAACAAGGTTTCCAGCAGAAAGGGGTCATTCTTGGTGTGTGTTGTAAAAAGATGACTCTGGCTACCACGCTCCAAAATAGATCCAAGGCGGAAGTGGAGAGGCATAAGGGTGATTTGGATGAGAGGCTATAATGTTTAAAATCTCAATAGGAGTTGGGGGCTGCAGGAAAATGACCAGATTGCCTGATATACTTTGAAAGTACAGTAAACGGGACTTCCAGGTGGAGTGGATGGGGCTAGAGAGGGCTTTGATCCTAAATCTTGGGCTTGGGTCTCTTCTTCTGGCCTCATGGCCATTGTGGTGAATGAGAGCAAAAGATGTTAGTAACAGCTGAGAGGCCCCAGGTGTAAATTGTATGTCTTAAGGCAACCAGGAGGGCTGGACACCCTCTCCTAGAGTGGTGGAGGGAAAGGAGTAGGCTTGGCCGGAAGGGGTTTACTAGGGAGAATAGACTCTAGAACCTTCTGGAGGCAGGGAAAAAATCCCCAAGAAGAGTGAAGATATTGGAAGTGGGTGACAGGGTATGTAAAGAAACGAGAAGGTTCTTTTGAAAGAGGGCGGTTCTCTCTAAGGGCAGGCTTGCGGCTCTGACACATGGGCAGTGCCTGGTTGGCCCTCCACCCAGAGGGCTGGGAGTGTTTGTTCCTTCAGAGGCTGGAGAAGCCCTGGAGACCCCATCACTGACTGAGTTCTTGATCAGTGTCCTGTCTGTAGTAACCAGGCTTTCTTCACTTGACAAAGAGACCGCATCAGAGTCAAGCAACTACAGGCTAAGATGGAATTCCTAGTGCATTAATAGTGAGGCAGGAAGTCTTCCCATCTGCAAAGAGGGAGGGAGATAGCAATGCGTCGGCCTTCTCAAAATAGCAGAAAGGGCAGCTCAGTGAGACTTACTTCACTGAGGTGTAGTGGGGGGAGCTTATGTTTGGTTCTACTACCATCCGGCCATGTAATTATTTAATTTTTCTAGACCCCTATTTCTTCTTTTGTAAAATGAGACAGTCATCTGTCACAGGATTATATGAAGCACATGTAAAAAGTTGTTTTGTAAAAACATAAACTGATGTCAAAGGGAGAAATAAATTATTGGTGGTCCTAACTTTTCTCCCTTACCTTGGGAGGAGGAAACTCAGAATCCTCTCAGGATTAAATTAGTAAAGCTGCCTCTAGGATGACAAGTGTGACTTATTTTTTAGGAAACCTATTAATATATCAAGCCAATAAGTCAAGATCAAGAAGTCAAATGAGAAAAATTACACAACCCCTAAAGAGACAGCTGAAAAGAGAATCTGATAAAATTCAAAACTCATTTCAGATATAAAAAGTTTTTGTAAAAAGCTTTTAGTAATAAAATATAGTTTCTTAGAATATTTTACATTATATGGGTATGAACATTTTGACTACAAAGGCCATATGGGAACATGGTAGGAAATTTGGAGGATGCAGAAAATCAGAAAGTAGAAAATAAAAATTATCCAATCAGGAAGAAATAGCTACCCAAATCCTCAATTCTTCCAGTTTTTTCTATGCATACACATTTAGAAATATCCATTCTAAATGCAAAATTAGTATAACAATATTTTAATTAAAAATTAACACTATGTCATGAATATTGTCCCTTATTATTAAATATTCTTCTACAATGTAATTCTTAGTGGTGGCAAAATAATTTCTTGAGTGGACATTCTATAATTTTTTAACCACTTTCATCCTAGAAATTAGTTGAGAATTTGGGCTAATGTTTCTATATTACCGTAACAAATAAGAATTAAGTGGACATCTTGTAAACTTTTCATATATCCATCATTATTTCATTAAGATAAAGAAAAATCTATACAAACTAAAGAATTTTTATTATACTATCATTTAACATTGTTTTGGGATTCATAGACATTGCAAATATCTTGAAGTGAAATGAAAGATATGAACTAAATTCATGGGAAAAAATAAAGGTCTATTTCCACCCTATGTTTCACACCATTCATGATGCTGGATGGGTTAAAGACTTACATGTGAAAACAAGTTCATAAAGATCTGAGAAGAAAGTGTAATTCCCTGCATGATCTTTAGGAAGCAGGTGCTTCTTAAGCACATTTTAGTTTCTTAAGCTGATTTTAATTGCATAAATAGAAATGTCTCTACCTTAAAAACCAACATAATAAGGTGAAAAGGCAAGGAATAAACAGGAAAAACCATTCATATACATCTGGTAAATATTGTTCATATCTAAAGTACTCTCAAACCTATAAGAAACAGCAATAGGAAAATGAGCAAAGGACTTAAACAGACAATTTCCCAAAGAAATGTAATAGCCAAAAGGCATATGTAAAAAATTTCACTCTCAGTCGTAATTAAAGACATGCAATGGAAGTTAATGAGATATCATTGTCCTTTTATAAAACCGGCAGAGATTTTCTAGAAATTCCAATATTAGTGAAGACTAGGGAACAGGAATTCTCATGCACAATTGGTAGAAATGAGAATCTGTACAACCTTTGTGGAGAGTAATATGCCTCTTTAAAAATGCAAATTCTTTGATCCTGCATTCCTAATGTAGGGGTTTATAATAGTGACAAAGAAAGAATATATAGCAAAAGGGGCTAAGTTATATCAGGGAACTTCTATATATTTATACAATAGAATATAATTCAGTTGTTGACACCGAAATTGATACTTGTTGAAAATGAAAGACATTGATAATTTAATTGCTTTGAAAAAAGCAGTTAACAGCAGAGGGTGATTTATATGCTAATCCCATTTTTGAGGGAAAAAAGAATCTTGAATCTGTAATTTATGGGAAAAGACTTGGAAAGAAATACACAGAGGTGTTAACTGAGTTATCTGAGTACTGGAGTTACAGAAAACTTTAATTTTCTCTTTCTTTATGACTAAAATATAAATTAGTTATAAATTTAAAAAGAACACACATCCCTAAAAACTCAAGACACAAAAATGCTGCAATCATATTAGTGCAATGATATGAAAAAGGCCCTCATGTATACTGATGATGAGTACGTGCAGCCTTTCTAGAAAGCAATTTGGCTAGATTTCTAAGAGCCAAAAATATCATATCCAGAATGACCCTGTCATTCTGGTTTTAAGAAGCTCTTCAAAAGAAATCAGATATGTGCAGTGCTGTTTGTAATGAGAAACATTGGATGAAGTGTCTGACAAAGGAGAATGATTAAGTAAATTACAGAGCCCTGTGTAATGGACTCTTATTTATGCTCTTCCAGGGGGGGTTTGGGAGAAGGCAGTCTGTACATTTTTTCCTCTGAGTTCTCAGAAAGGTCTGTCCAGCTCTAACAGTATAATGCCCTGTAAGTCCATGACCTAGTTTTCTATAACTCATTCCAAAAGTTTCTTTGTGAAGGAAGTTGTTTAAAACAGAATCTCAGTGAATTGCTCTCAAGTCTCTGCTACCATGATGGTTTTAGACAATCCTGGCGTAGCTGTCCCGTTGCTTCATCTGCTTTCTCTGAAGTCAGAACAGATGGTTGTCTATCGGGGGCGTGCTGGGAAGTATTTAACTGACAGCCGGCTGGTAGAGGAACTATTTTGGACGAAGCACTTGCCAATTTCTGTGGTGTAAATACTCCCACCATGGCTGATTCAAGCTACCAGCATCCCTGAACTCAGAATTGAGAACGGAAGTACAGTAGCACAGTGTTAGATGCTATTTCTACCACACAAATTGGTTAAGTGTAAATAACTATATGAAGAAAAATGATAGTAAAATATAGCAAATCATTAGGCAAATAGAACTTTTTTTTATATTTATATGAGATGATGGATGTTCACCAGACTTATTACAGTGATCATTTCATGATGTTTGTGGGTCAAATCATTGTGCTGTGTACCTTGAACTTGGACAGTGTGGTATGTCACTTGTGTCTCAGGAGAACTGCAAGAAAAAAAAAAGAAAAAAGAATTAGAAAATGATGAATTCTGAATAGTACTATATTTTTAATGCAAAATATTTCATTGAAAGTTCATGTCACTTGTTTTTTGGTTATTTAATTTAATTGAGGACTACCTAATAAGAAGTAAAATAAAATGTCATTTCAGAGGTATCTTGTCTCTCCTAAGTATATCTCTAAACTATTATTTGATAAATTTAATCCAAATAGAGTAAAAATAAAATACAAAATATGTAAGTACCATTTATTGAACAGTTACTTGGTGCTGGGATCTGTGTTAAAAGTCCTGCATATACTATCCAGCAGCATAATCTCAGGGTCAGTTTTTTCCTGAGGCCACTGATATTTAAAGATAATGAGGAGTGTGTAGGTGGTGGCTATTTTTAAATAATAAAATTAGAGAAGTATAGGCAGATATTTTTTATTTTCCTTCTTCCTCTGCCTCCCTCCTCCCCCTCCTTCTCCTCTTCCCCTTTCTCTCCTCCCCCTCCTCTTCCTCTTCTTCTTGTTTTTTTCTACTCTGTTTCTCAGTCTTAGACATTTTTATTTCTAGACCCCCAAGGAACATTTATTCTTTCGGGATTCTGAGCTGATATGAGAGTTGCTTCTCTTCCTTTGTAGCTTCTCTGTTGCCAATCCTTTCATCCATGGTTTGTTCTAGAAATAAGATGTCCCTGTTTACTCAACTCTGAATCAGATGCACTACCTATTACAATCAGTGAGATGTAAATTATGAGTGAGTAACTCCAGGACAAATTAGTTATGTCCTTTCCTGCAGTTACTTAGACTTTGAAAACATTGGTTTCCTCATCTGTAAAATGGGTGTGGTCATCCTGCCCTGCTTTGGGGGTTGTTCTGAGGTCTAAGGAGTTACTGCATGTGACGGTGCACTGTCAGTGGTAAAACAGTGAGTGTACACGTGGTGGAAGTGACTTGTTTTTCTGATGACATTTTCATGTGTAAGGTCACAAGTTCCACCCTCACTCTTCAACTACCCCCACTGCCCGCCCCGGGAATCCATGATCCTTCTCCCCTGTCCCTTCAAGGGACATTATGCTGAAGGGTCTCAGCACCTCAGCTGTGATGGCTGTGAACTCACTTCTGAGATGAATTTCTGCCACTTCCTAGCTCTGTGACATTGGGCAAATCACAGAACCATTCTGATCCCATTTCCTCACTCGTGAATTTGTGTAGCAATACTTTGCTTGGAGAATTGATGAAAGGACTAAGTGAATAATACACAGTTGAAGTGCTTAGCAAAGGCACAGACTCCTGGAGTGTGCTGCTTAGAAGCTCTTGCTGCTGAGTACTGCATCTCCTTGATGATCTTGGTTCAGTCCTCAGTGCCCTGTCAAGTGACCTGGCAGGTGGTAGGATTCCCCCAGTCTCCACATGGCCTCCATGGAGATCAGATGTCTGATTTGGCCATGAATTTGGGCTCTTGGAAATGTAGGAAGGGACACAGGTTGTTGATGGCACCCTCTCAGCTCATTCTCTGGTCAAGACCTTGTCCTCTTTGTCTCCTCAGGCACCTCCCTTGTGCTCACATAGCTGCCACTTAATTTGACTAAGGTCTGAACAGCCGAAGGGCCCTGTTTGAAGCTGAGTTGCTAGCTTTCATGTTCCTCTCCACCAGCCCATCACTATCCTGCCTGTCCTCCAACTTAAGTTTAGTTCAAAGCTGATGACATTTCTGTTTATCTTAAAGGCCTCACTTTCAATCTTTCAGGGCTGCATGTATCTACCTGGAAGTACAATCAAGGAGATCGCCACAAATCCAGAAGAAGCGGGGAAGTTTGTCTTCGAAGTCATTCCAGGTAGGTGACAAAAAGTGGGAGAGATGTTCCTTACATTCCTGTGTTATTTCTGATCCCAGAAGTCAAGGCTATATTCAGTGAGTCTGTCAACCAGCTAGCCAACCAACCTAGTAAGAATGCATAATAGTTCTCTATATAGTTAATGATATACTAGTTCATTGATAACATGGAAACTAAGTAGATGTGCATCTGATTCAGCTCTCTAAGCATTTCATGGGCACCTGCTTGGAGCCAGGTATTCACTAGGCACTGGGACACTGATCTGAAAGTATATCACCCTCGCTAACTAAAAGGGAGATTCCCTGGTGGCTCAGTGGTTGGTAAAGAATCTGCCTGCCAATGCAGGAGACACAGGATTGATTCCTTGGTCAGGAAGATCCCCTGGAGAAGGAAATGGCAACCCACTCCAGTATTCTTGCCTGGGAAATCCCATGGATAGAGGAGCTTGGGAAGCTACAGTCCATGGGGTGGCAAAAATGTTGAACTCGACTTAGCAACTAAGCAACAACATGAAAAGGAGCTTAGCTTTGAAGGTGAGGGGGACAATAAAATGAACAAAGTATAAATCAAACCATGAGAAACTGCCGTGTTGGTAGGTCAAAAATGGTCGATAGTCAGCAGTCTCATATGGTGCAATGTGACCTGATAAGAAATGACAGCTTCAACTTCCTGAGTACTTATTATGTGTCGGGTGCTCTAATTCACCTATTACAGAAGTTAACAGCACACCGGAGATGCCTCTTTCTAATCAAGAGTTACCGTCCTCAAACGCATGTAGGGAACAGGGGTATTTGTCTCAGTTCGTCTCAAGGGGAGTTGATGTGTCACACTGAAGCTGCTTCTGCCCACCTCTTGCCCCACCAGGAACTCCAGGGCTGCTGGTCTAGCTCTGGAGCCAGATTTTGCTGCTGCCGTGGTGACACAGCAGGAGAGGCCCCAAGCCCCTTGAGTGCCCCTTCCCTTAATTCTCTTTTTAACCCTCACACAAATCAGTCATATGCATAAGAAACTTGAGGGGGAAGGGTACAGCAGAGACGGTAGACGTGCACCATCTGGAGCCAGCCTGCCCGGGGCCACATCTGGCCCTGCCATTCGCCCTGTGTATGACAGAGTAAAGTGAAAGTCGCTCAGTCATGTTCAACTCTTTGTGACCTCACCAGGTCCATGGAATTCTCCAGGCAAGAATACTGGAGTGGATTGCCTTTCCCTTCTCCAGAGGATCTTCCTGACCCAGGGATTGAACCTGGGTCTCCTGCATTGCAAGCAGATTCTTTACCAGCTGAACCATCAGGGAATCCCCTGCTATGTGTGTAATTGTGATCAGTTATTGCATTTAATTATTTAATTTCTCCTTGCCTCTTTCTTTACCTGTGAAATAGGTACAGTGATGATGATAGTGAGGATTAAGTAAACAAATATATATGTCACACTTGGTATAGTGCCTGGTAACAGTGTCATGTCAGTGTTTGATGTTTTGGCAATAACTAGAGGAAATTGTAAAATTCAGAAATCAATTCTCCAAACTGGCTATGACTGTTTATAGAAAACAAAGAAAAATAGGATTTTTTTTTTAAAGTTCAGCTCTTCCTAAGTGGCCATCTCATGGGCCTTCCCTTGATTTTTATCTGAGGAGCTATCCGTTTTTCTTCCTTCTGAAAGGAAGAGCCTACTTTTCCAATCTCTTCTTTCTAGGAGAACTCCACCCCTTTCCCACAAAGTTTATTCTCTGTCTAGGGCCCCTTTCCCAGCACAAATCATGAGACACAGCCACTTATGATAACTTGTGTCCCATAGCCTGATTTTTCAATATAGTGTGACCCTACTGAGAGCTCCAACTAGAAATTTACTGTGGGCTTTGCACCACGAATCCAGTGCCTTTGGACACTGCTGTGCTAGGGTAGGGTGAAGATCTGTCCTCTCATCGTAACTTACATTTGCAGTTGTCTCCTGGGCTGCTGGGGCAGTTCTTAGGCAGATTCACACATGTAAGTAGGTGCACACACACTCATCACATAAGGAAAAACAACACTTATAAAGCAATAGTAAGGTAGGGAGCCATTTTCCCAAACATGTCATCATTCACCCAACCTGAAATGAGACAATGCTTTCTGTTACAATGTAGAGAATTTTTAGTTCCTTTTTTGGTCATCTTTTTGTAGGAGATGATTCCCAGGGGCCAACCCTGGAATAAGAAATGGCTTCCTAATCAGGGCCCCCTCTCTCTGATCACCAGTGTTAGCTGTAGAAAGCCCACAGAGAAGAGTTCCACTGTTGTTATGCTCTGCTTTTCTTTATTTGGAGCAAGCAAAGATTTGAGGCAGGCTTCCCTTCCCTACTTAACTCAAGCAGAATAACAATCTCCCACCCAAAGGGGATCATCAGGTAGAGGGGGATAATTCCTTCTGTGGAATATGTAGGATTTAATTCTCATACTGCTTTCTGAGATGTGACACCAAATTTATTGAGCACTTGCTATGTAGGAACTGGGAACCCAGCAATCAATGAAACAGCCTGTAAGCAGCTTAAAATCAATGGTGGGGGGGGGGGGGAGAGACTGACAACAAGCCAAATAAATGAATACATTGTATAGTTTTATGATGGGATCGGTACTAGGTACTATAAGAAGAAAGCAAATTAAGAGAGAGGAAGTTCTGAATGAGGTGGGGATGGCAACTGTTGATTCATCATTTGAAGGAGAGCAGGCAGAATAGACATCACTGAGAAGGTGACTTATTTTGAGCCAAGATCTGAAGGAAGTGAAGGCATGAGCCAAGTGTGTATCTGGAGGAAGAGCATTCCAGGGAAAGGAGCAGCCGGTGCCAAGTCTCCAAGCCTATTTCTCTCGTTCAGGAAACAGCAACAAGGCCAAGGTAGTTACAGTGGAGTGCTGAGAGGGGAGAAGAGGAGGCGATTTGGTCAGGGGTGGGCCCAAGTTTCACAGGCACTGGTCGGTAACTGTACAATGTTTGATTTTTGTGATGGAAGGATGGAAAGCCATTGGGAGGTTTGATCGGAGAAGTAACATGATCTGACTTTTGTTTTAAAACCCTTTTGAGTTGAGGCTAAAAAGGGGCAAAGACATAGCAGGAGCAGCAGAGAAGGTTATTGCAATTATACAATTGAGTTATAGAGACGACGAAGGGGGTGAGAAGTAAGCAATTTCTGGACACATTTTGAAGGCAGAGAGTACTTCATTTGCTGACAGATTAGATGTAGCAAAGAGAAGTCAAGGTTGACTCCAAAGTTTTCATGCAAACAACAGGAAAGCTGGCTTTCCTGAGATTTGTGCATGTAGAAGATCAAGGCTTTAGCTTTGTATTTTTGTTTTAGTATTAAGTTGTTAATTCAGTTTTAATGATAAGGAAAACAATGTTCAGGATAATTTAGCTACTGCTTCCATAGAGGTAAGGATAGAGTGTTAAGAGATTTTTAAAAAAGACTCCCCACTAGATTTGGAGTGGGAAGGGAGATGTGAAGGAAGCATCCCTAGAGAAAGTATCATTTGTACTAGATTTTAAAGGATGGGCTTCTCTGAATGCTGCAATGGTAAAGAATCCACTTGCAACGAGGGAGACCCAGAGTTTGATCGCTGGGTAGGGAAGATCCCCTGGAGAAGGTAATGGCCACCCACTCTAGTATTCTTACCTGGAGAATTCTGTGGACAGAGGAGCCTGGCGGGCTACAGTCCAGGAGGTCACAGAGTTGGACACAACTGAGCAATTAAACTTTGACTTGAAAGGCTGGCTAGGAGTTCCTTAGGCAAGGGAAGAAAGGAAGGCAGGTTCCTCTCTAACAAGAGAAACAGTCCATTAGGTGACACGTGCTGAACACACTGTTTAAGTCAGAGAAAGTATGTGTCTGAGGGCAGAGCTGCTCTTCTTGGGCTTTGCATTAATGTCAAACAGTTTCAAAGACAGCTCTTCCCAGCACCGATGTGTGTCTAAACACTCATTTATTTGTAGGGCAACAAGAACTTTCAAATTCTCTGAGGTTCTTGTCTCTCAAATCTATCTTAATCTCACTCAGCCTCACTTTCCTTAGCCTTTGAGATAACCTACTTCTGAATCCATCTTGTCATCAGCTCTTCTGATCAGAAAGATCAGTCATAGAGGCTCTGGTTATTTAGAAACATCAAGATCTGGGTATTTCTTAATTGTTGCCATGATGCAACCAAATGAGTCTCTCAGGAATGAGTGTGAACTGAAAGGCATGTTCTCTCAGACTGGAGTGTAGGCATGATGGAAGACACCAGATGAATTTTGGCCAGGGTCAAATTTGAAGCACTATGGGCTGATGGAGACTCTTGAGAGAAAGATTGTAGCCTTGCCCTGAGTTTGGTGGTAACTTACTGGGTAACTTAATGGGCTTCCCACGTGGTGCTAGTGGTAAAGAAGCTGCCTGCCAGTGCAGGTGATACAAGAGACGCGGGTTTGATCCCTGAGTCGGGATGATCCCCTAGAGTAGGAAATGGCAACCCACTCCAGTATTCTTGCCTGGAAAACCCCAGGGTGAGGAGGAGCCTGGTGGGCTATAGTCCATAGAGTTGCAAATAGTTGAACATGACTGAAGTGACTTAGCACTTACTGGGTACCAATGGGCAAGGCCCGTTGCACCTCTGGGCTTCATTTATCTGTGGAGCAGAAATGATAGTAGAGTCTTGTTCTACTTCAAAGGGATATGGTGATCCCTTTGGGATTCTTTAGTTCGGCCCCGAGGGCTTTTTACTGCCCATTTTACGTCTGGAAACATCTGGATGTTCCTCAATAGCCAGTGCTTCCATGGACTGAGACCAGAAGAGCTGTTGATGACCCAATGATAAGATGGATTCAGAATCAGGTTTGTTGTCATTGTTGAGTCACTAAGTCATGTCTGACTCTTTGCGACTCCATGGACTGTGGCATGCCAGGCTACAGAATCAGGTTTTTCCAAAGCATAAAAAAAGTGAGACTGGGTAATTTTACGGTGGGTTCAAGAGACTGGAAACAGAGGAGCTTTGGAAGTATTCTGTTGCTATGAAAGAAAATACAGGTTTGGGCCCAGCTGGGCAGATATAACAGGTTCTTTTCAAAAGTTTTTTTAAAACAGATGAACCCAGTGCCGGGCAGGAATAGAGACACAGACGCAGAGAAGGGACATGTGGACACAGTGGAGGAGGGGGAGGGTGGGATGGCTTGAGAGAGCAGCACTGACGTGTGCACACGAACGTGTGTTAAATAGATAGTCAGCGGAAGGCTGCCGTACGACACAGGGGCTCAGCCCAGTGCTCTGTGGTGACCCAGGGGGGCGGGGTGCTGGGAGGCTAGAAAGGGGGGATATATGTATACGTACTGCTGATTCACTCTGCTATACAGCAGAAACTAACACAAGATTATAAAGCAATGATACGCAAATAAAAAAATAGTACATGAAAAAACAAATAAAATTGGGACTGTTTTCTGACATCTAAAAGAAATTGAACTTATATGATGTACATTATTATGTAAATTATAGGTGTTCAATATAGTGATTCACAATTTCTAAAGGCTGTACTCCATATATAGCTATTATAAAATATTGGCCATCCTCCCCATGTTGTACAATATATCCTTGTAGCTTATTTTATACCCAATAGTTTGTCCCACTTAATCCTCTACCCCTTATTATCTCTCTCTACTTCCTTCTCCCTGCTAGTGACCACTAGTTTGTTTTCTACATCTATGAGTTTGCTTCTCTTTTTTTTTTATTATATCCACTAGTCTGTTGTATTTTTTAGATTTTATCTGTAAGCAATATCATACAACAATTATCTTTCTCTGACTTATTTTACTTTGTATAACGCCCTCTAAGTTCATCCATCTTGCTGCAAATGACAGAATTTCATACTTTTTTTATGGCTGAGTAGTATCCCGTTGTATGTATATACCACATTTCCTTTATCCATTATTCTGTTGATGGATGTTTAAGTTGCTTCCATATCTTGGTAATTGTAAATGCTGCCATGAACATTGAAGTATTTGCATCTTTTCAAATTAGTGTTTTTGTTTTTGTTTTGTTTTTTGATAAATACCCAGGAGTGGAATTTCTGGGTCATATGGTAGTAGAACAAACTCTTTTAGAAGG